GCCCCCATGGGGACCTAGGCAAGTGCGCTGCTTCCATTTCCGAAGGCGTAGACAGGAAGCAGCCCAGAGTGTGTGCTCAATCCGCTGAAGCGAAGAAAATCGCTCCCTGGGTACCCAATGGCCATCTCAATCAATTTATTTGGGAACACTCGGCGAAACACTGTCGAATCGGGTACACCAGTTCGTCACTCGTCGAAGGGGAAATTTATAGAAACAGTAAACGCAAAATTGTGCCTAGCCATGCCCAACAGTAAGTTTGCATCAAACGAGAGTTTAACCATGGATCTTTAACCATTTAGCCGGATGCTCCATCAACTGAGTCACGGGTTTGTTGTCCTGTCGGTTGCATTCAGGAATATTGACTATGGAAGCGGACGCTCGCTGATTGCAATAGGACCCATTGTGATAAGTAGTTCGATTTAGGGCCCGTAGGCAGCTGTACAGGGACAAGTTCTATATGCACAAAACGAGCTTTCGATTCATTAATTAAACATTCTGGGATCCAGTTCTTGGGGCTGCAAACGTGGAGTTGGGTGTCCATATCTAATGAAGGTTAATAAGTCATTCCGAACTTTCAATTTTAAAATACCTGTCGGTTTTCGGATAATTTTGAAGTCTGTTTGCAGTTGCACTCGCTTTTCCGGTTTCCAAACGATAACCTGTACAGTTTATATTTAAGACGAATCAAAAATTCCCTTATTTTAATCAGAGAATGCAACATAGTACTCATAGAATCTATCCATCGAATGGGACCAGACTATATGCTTCATAAAGAGCATTGATAAATATATAGTTGAGATTTTCTTGGATACAAAATTCATTGCTTCATTATTGTATAAATACACGCTTTCTTTAATGCAGAAAAGACATCGTTTGACGTATATTTAATTGTCGACAAGACTTATATTAGAGTGACCTTTTAAAGACTTTCTAGAGAATGCGTATGTATTATTATAGCTATATATATGCATTACTCAGCTACAACCGCAGTCACGTGTTTCGCCGAGGTTTCTGCTGCTGCGTGATAGAGCAACGAGGGGTTTGACTCCTTTGTGGGTCCCCCAGCGTTTACTATGCAGTTTCTGATATATGACCTGCGAATAATAATCAAGGGAATCATCTTAAAAATTACTAAGTGCATGATATATGAACTCCAGATAATATATACTATGGTATATATCTACGCGCTGATCGATAACGGAACTCACTCTTCCCGTTATAAATATGTGGAACTTCATGGCAGTACCTCCCGCTGGATTTAATTCGCCTCATTTTCCCACTGAATATAAAGAACTTTCGGAGATATTTTGCTTAGGCTTTTCCTTGTCCATCTAGCCGCCATGTATTCCAACACGGCTGTAGAGCGTTCTTATACAGTCATATCTACATGAAATGTGTTAGCCGTTGTGGAAGCAAAAAATAGGCAGCTTTAGCGGTCGCCTTTAAGTTTCCTCTTATTTCGTTGCCGGTGACCTGAGTCATCTACAGGCACGGAAGGAGTGTGCGGCCTACCTCACAGCTGCGCCACTTTCTTGCAGCATAACTTCCTGTCCTTGGCCGTTGACTTTTTTCTACATCCATGACGCATTTTCTACCTGCGAATTCCTGTCTACGCCAAATAAACTCAGGACGGGGTGCTAACCGACATTCACACGGCGGCTGATGTAGGCGCTTGCCTATCCGAGAAAAAAGACCCCGAGTTGGGCAGAGGTAATGCTGGTCTAGTGTCTGTGTGAATGCCTCATCTGTAATGACGCCTATTCCCCTCCTGCATGAATACATTAGGGCTCGATGTCCATCCGGTCGGATGCCGGCCCGGTCGTGCTCTCGAAATGCGTCACTGGTTTGTACCGTGCCGCCTGCTCAGAGGGCATCATACCCCGCCCCCTTCAGCGTGGCAGACGTGTTCGAAGCGGCTTCATTTGCGTCTGCCGAGACCTCCACATCGAGCGAGGTCACTTGAAGGCGGAAGAAGAGGGAGTCATCATCAGTTAGATGGGGAGAGGACCCCTCCTCACATAGGGGACTTCAAAAGACATTTACACATTTGACAGAATGGCGTGTGAGTGTTGCTCGAACGGTGGGAGCGGCCGTTTCATCTACCTCTTCCACAGGCATATTGACATTAAGGCAGGCGAGACTGCTGGCCGTCCTTTTTTTGACCGGAAATCCGTCCTCCTTTCCGATTCGGGCTACCGTCGCAAGCCCTGAGTAATCTGAAATTCCTCCACATACTCTTGGCGGTGATTTTGAAAGGGCAAAGTTTTCAAGGCCCAAATCAGCGCCTTTACCCATGTACAACCGGAGAGGCTAAAAATGGCAGTCATGGAGGAAAGTATCTGGGAAGCCTCACTGATCATTTCTACTTGTGTTGGCGAAAATACGATGACCATAAATCGTCTAGAAACCAGGTCAAGTCATTAAATATCGTCCCACGGTATTTAAAACCAATCCGGCAACTGAAACACTCAAAATTATTTTAGTATGTACAGGGTAGGATGATCATCGTAGCCGCGTTTACCTGATAACTGGAGGATCCGCCGCAGTTGGCTGATCCTCGGTGGCAAAAAAACAATATGTGGACGAAAACTACCAATATATTCTATGAAAGAGTAACTTATGGTACCATAGCGGCAGTTCGATCGCACTGCCGATCCTTATACGAAGTAAGTGCGCTCCCGAAAGCCCAGATTGACTGGCAATTATGAGTAAGCCCGCAAAACGTCTAAACTTCACTTGTTCTTGACGCTCTGTTCCTGATATTGGCCATCTTGTAGCCTGGAAGACGGCGGCCTCCCCGTGATCTGCACAACCAGCCGCTAACTCGGGAGGGTAAATAGCCCAATACGCACGTATTTTGGTGTCCAACGTACTGCCGCCGAGGTTGTAAATTCAATACAGGTCCGCTTGATCAGGCTTTTCGGCATCAATTATTGTTAGTTCACTAAGGATTTTGGTCCACTTGACAGAACTCGGGAATGAAAAGTGGGCCGCCAATTTTTTTTATCCTGCGTCCTGCGCTGAGATCGAATCGTACGTTTACTGTTGTATATGTAATTATATCCATATGTTCGCCTGCGTGAAAAATATTCAGGCATACCACTGATATTGAATGACCTTAAAGAAGTGGGTCATGTGTGAAGTTTAAAGAATACTATCAATGGTAGGGAAAATGTGATTACCAGATGATAAGTCAGAAGAGGGAAGAGTGTTCACCAGGACTATGTTTACTGTGTCTGACGTTTCGGGTAGTTGTTTCACCTACCTATCTTCAGCGGTGGAGCATTCCGGCTAACGGCACTCGTTATATGCTGCTCTGTCCGTGTGCGTAGTCTG